CTGGTATATACTCGTACTGAGTGTTGTGGTCACACAGGTATATACTCATGTACTGAGTGTTGTGGTCACAGGTATATACTCATGTACTGAGTGTTGTAGTCACACAGGTATATACTCATGTACTGAGTGTTGTGGTCACACAGGTATATACTCGTGTACTGAGTGTTGTGGTCACACAGGTATATACTCGTGTACCGAGTGTTGTGGTCACAGGTATATACTCGTGTACTGAGTGTTGTGGTCACTGGTATATACTCGTGTACTGAGTGTTGTGGTCACTGGTATATACTCGTGTACTGAGTGTTGTGGTCACACAGGTATATACTCGTGTACTGAGTGTTGTGGTCACAGGTATATACTCGTGTACTGAGTGTTGTGGTCACAGGTATATACTCATGTACTGAGTGTTGTGGTCACAGGTATATACTCATGTACTGAGTGTTGTGGTCACAGGTATATACTCGTGTACTGAGTGTTGTGGTCACAGGTATATACTCATGTACTGTGTGTTGTGGTCACACAGGTATGTACTCATGTACTGAGTGTTGTGGTCACAGGTATATACTCGTGTACTGAGTGTTGTGGTCACAGGTATATACTCATGTACTGAGTGTTGTGGTCACAGGTATATACTCATGTACTGAGTGTTGTGGTCACAGGTAATACTCGTGTACTGAGTGTTGTGGTCACAGGTTACTTACTAAGCTCGTGTACTGGGTGTTGTGGTCACAGGTATATACTCGTGTACTGAGTGTTGTGGTCACAGGTATATGCTCGTGTACTGGGTGTTGTGGTCACAGGTATGTACTCGTGTACTGAGTGTTGTGGTCACACAGGTATATACACTCGTGTACTGGGTGTTGTGGTCACACAGGTATATACACTCGTGTACTGGGTGTTGTGGTCACACAGGTATATACACTCGTGTACCGAGTGTTGTGGTCACAGGTATATACTCGTGTACTGGGTGTTGTGGTCACAGGTATATACTCGTGTACTGGGTGTTGTGGTCACAGGTATGTACTCGTGTACTGTGTTGTGGTCACAGGTATATACTCGTGTACTGAGTGTTGTGGTCACACAGGTATATACACTCGTGTACTGGGTGTTGTGGTCACACAGGTATATACACTCGTGTACTGGGTGTTGTGGTCACACAGGTATATACACTCGTGTACTGGGTGTTGTGATCACACAGGTATATACACTCGTGTACTGAGTGTTGTGGTCACTGGTATATACACTCGTGTACTGAGTGTTGTGGTCACACAGGTATATACACTCGTGTACTGAGTGTTGTGGTCACTGGTATATACACTCGTGTACTGAGTGTTGTGGTCACTGGTATATACACTCGTGTACTGAGTGTTGTGGTCACTGGTATATACACTCGTGTACTGAGTGTTGTGGTCACCGGTATATACACTCGTGTACTGAGTGTTGTGGTCACTGGTATATACACTCGTGTACTGAGTGTTGTGGTCACTGATATATACACTCGTGTACTGAGTGTTGTGGTCACTGGTATATACACTCGTGTACTGAGTGTTGTGGTCACTGGTATATACACTCGTGTACTGAGTGTTGTGGTCACAGGTATATACACTCGTGTACTGAGTGTTGTGGTCACAGGTATATACACTCGTGTACTGAGTGTTGTGGTCACAGGTATATACACTCGTGTACTGAGTGTTGTGGTCACTAGGTATATACACTCGTGTACTGAGTGTTGTGGTCACTGGTATATACACTCGTGTACTGAGTGTTGTGGTCACAGGTATATACACTCGTGTACTGAGTGTTGTGGTCACAGGTATATACTCTCGTGTACTGAGTGTTGTGGTCACAGGTATATACACTCGTGTACTGAGTGTTGTGGTCACAGGTATATACACTCGTGTACTTGAGTGTTGTGGTCACAGGTATATACACTCGTGTACTGAGTGTTGTGGTCACTGGTATATACTCTCGTGTACTGAGTGTTGTGGTCACAGGTATATACACTCGTGTACTGAGTGTTGTGGTCACAGGTATATACACTCGTGTACTGAGTGTTGTGGTCACAGGTATATACACTCGTGTACTGAGTGTTGTGGTCACAGGTATATACTCTCGTGTACTGAGTGTTGTGGTCACAGGTATATACTCTCGTGTACTGAGTGTTGTGGTCACAGGTATATACACTCGTGTACTGAGTGTTGTGGTCACTGGTATATACACTCGTGTACTGAGTGTTGTGGTCACTGGTATATACACTCGTGTACTGAGTGTTGTGGTCACTGGTATATACACTCGTGTACTGAGTGTTGTGGTCACAGGTATATACTCTCGTGTACTGAGTGTTGTGGTCACAGGTATATACACTCGTGTACTGAGTGTTGTGGTCACTGGTATATGCACTTGTGTACTGAGTGTTGTGGTCACACAGGTATATACTCTCGTGTACTGAGTGTTGTGGTCACAGGTATATACACTCGTGTACTGAGTGTTGTGGTCACTGGTATATACACTCGTGTACTGAGTGTTGTGGTCACTGGTATATACACTCCGTGTACTGAGTGTTTGTGGTCACAGGTATATACTCTCGTGTACTGAGTGTTGTGGTCACAGGTATATACACTCGTGTACTGAGTGTTGTGGTCACTGGTATATACACTCGTGTACCGAGTGTTGTGGTCACTGGTATATACACTCGTGTACTGAGTGTTGTGGTCACAGGTATATACACTCGTGTACTGAGTGTTGTGGTCACAGGTATATACTCTCGTGTACTGAGTGTTGTGGTCACAGGTATATACACTCGTGTACTGAGTGTTGTGGTCACTGGTAATATACACTCGTGTACTGAGTGTTGTGGTCACACAGGTATATACTCTCGTGTACTGAGTGTTGTGGTCACAGGTATATACACTCGTGTACTGAGTGTTGTGGTCACTGGTATATACACTCGTGTACTGAGTGTTGTGGTCACTGGTATATACACTCGTGTACTGAGTGTTGTGGTCACTGTAATATACACTCGTGTACTGAGTGTTGTGGTCACTGGTATATACACTCGTGTACTGAGTGTTGTGGTCACTGGTATATACACTCGTGTACTGAGTGTTGTGGTCACTAGTATATACACTCGTGTACTGAGTGTTGTGGTCACAGGTATATACACTCGTGTACTGAGTGTTGTGGTCACAGGTATATACTCTCGTGTACTGAGTGTTGTGGTCACAGGTATATACACTCGTGTACTGAGTGTTGTGGTCACTGGTATATACACTCGTGTACTGAGTGTTGTGGTCACACAGGTATATACTCTCGTGTACTGAGTGTTGTGGTCACAGGTATATACACTCGTGTACTGAGTGTTGTGGTCACTGGTATATACACTCGTGTACTGAGTGTTGTGGTCACTGGTATATACACTCGTGTACTGAGTGTTGTGGTCACTGGTATATACACTCGTGTACTGAGTGTTGTGGTCACTGGTATATACACTCGTGTACTGAGTGTTGTGGTCACACAGGTATATTCACTCGTGTACTGAGTGTTGTGGTCACTGGTATATACACTCGTGTACTGAGTGTTGTGGTCACAGGTATATACACTCGTGTACGGAGTGTTGTGGTCACACAGGTATATACACTCGTGTACTGAGTGTTGTGGTCACTGGTATATACACTCGTGTACTGAGTGTTGTGGTCACTGGTATATACACTCGTGTACTGAGTGTTGTGGTCACTGGTATATACACTCGTGTACTGAGTGTTGTGGTCACAGGTATATACACTCGTGTACTGAGTGTTGTGGTCACAGGTATATACACTCGTGTAGTGAGTGTTGTGGTCACAGGTATATACACTCGTGTAGTGAGTGTTGTGGTCACAGGTATATACACTCGTGTACTGAGTGTTGTGGTCACAGGTATATACACTCGTGTACTGAGTGTTGTGGTCACAGGTATATACACTCGTGTACTGAGTGTTGTGGTCACAGGTATATACACTCGTGTACTGAGTGTTGTGGTCACAGGTATATACACTCGTGTAGTGAGTGTTGTGGTCACACACACTACACAAGTATGGATCATTGTCTGCTCTGTCTCCACTTATAAAATCTTTCACAAAATATTAACACATGTGCCATACCATATTAATCATGTTTTTTTTTATATTTCTAGTGTTGTCAAATATGATTTTTTGTCCAGTTTTAAATGCTACGTTTTTACACCTTTTTACATTGCTTAATTTTGATTATTTTTTTTAGCTGTTGCTGCTAAGCTTTTAATATAATTTTTAAAGCTTTTTTGAATACCAGAAGTTTTACACGTGGTTTTAGGTGCTTATATACATTAAGTACACCTGTTTTTGTCTGCAAAGTCAGCCTTTATATCTCGGCCCAAGGCCAGGCTCTGAGAGTAGAAAAACTCTCGAAACTCATCAAAGGTATACAAAAGGTAGGTGTGTGTGGGTGGTGAGGGACTTTTTATTGCGGCAATGTCGGTCAAATAAGTACAGCTGCCATATTGATATTTTTTTTTAAAGAATCATATTTTACACGACTCAGTTTTACAGAGTGTGAACTGTTATCTTGCCTCAGCTCACTGAAAGGTCTAGTCCTGTGTAAGGTATACTACCACCCCCAAGGATGCTGCCCACAACAATCATTTAACAACACCCAGGTACCTACTTACTGTCGGGGATCAGTGTTCAGTGTGTGAGCTGGGTGCGCTACCCAGCGATCCACGGAACACCACTTTTTATTATCCTACTCAAAGTATCTTAACACAGCCATAATTTAGTTAATATTATTAAGTCTCAAAGAAATCAGATTGATTTTCGCCGAGTTCTTGCAGCATTTAATTTATGTATACCGGACATATGTGGCAAAACGATGCAGCCTTTTGAGCTAAGATCGCAAATTCTGGCTAAAATGTATGACATGTATATAATTTGCTGGAAGCAGTGTTTTGTATGGCAGTGTAATTATATGTCTGTCTCTCCCCACAGGTTTGTTGATGGAGGTCTGGTGGTGGTGACGGGAACTCCAGGAAACTGGTAAATGTTGATTACATTTTACTTTCATAGACTTAAACCAGCACTTGAGGCTTTCATAGCCTTAAACCAGCACTTCAGACTACTACTGAATAAAAAGGGAGAGTGCTACCGCGATGTTACAACCTCGGAGGTCTTGTCTTACCTCAGTTTTTATTTAATCCTGCATCTAATATTGGCATTGTTATTGTGTATATAGGTGTTTCGTTTGTTGTTAGTAAGAGACACAGATATTGGATACTGAATAAAGTTGGAACCAAGCGGTATCAGATATGCTGCAGGCCAGGGACAAATATCTTCAAGCTGAAGCTCGACCAGTATCTCCGTCAGATGCCAGATCAACCAGGTTGTGATAGATACGTCAGCCAGATTGCCGCCAACTGGAATAGCCTGGTTGATCAGGCTATGCCTCGCCCATGAAGGACAGTCTACAGTAGTAGTAAACATAGCGATACCGGTCATGGGTGCATCACAGATATATTTAAGCCAGAGGTTGGCTAATTTGTCATAATTTTTTGAGATATTCCACATAAGAATCAGTCGAGTAGTGAAGGATCGTTAATGTATTGATAATCTTAGGAGAGAGAGTGAAACTGTTGTATAATAGGAAGTGTTGCCTGGCTGCTTATGGAGTTGCTCCAGGTGGTGATAGAACCTTGAGAACAATGGTCTGGTAAACACCAGTAAACTTACTATATTTGTTCGTATGTTTAAAGGGGCTGTTGATATAACAGACCCGGTTAAGATAAGTCTAGGCTTAAGATGACTCGGCTTGTGCAGTCCTCTCCATGATGTGAGCAAAGTTGTGCCTTGTGTAGTGTATGTCTAGTATATAGAGGAAATATGTAAATGGTATTTTCTTAGCCTTAGTCTCTTGAACATGTCCAGGTTTTCTTTGATTATTTAAATGATCAACATCAAATAAAAAATGTATATAATGTCGTGCCGAATAGGTAAAACTTGCTGTTTTGGCTTAAATAGTAACGCTCTTCTTGCCGAATAAGGCAAACAAAAATTTGTGTATGTAGTAATTTCGCAAAAATCATTCTTGTTTGTTTATTATTAAATTATTTTAAACTTATCTAAGATATATTTAGTTGGATTAGGCTAAATTCAATGAGGCTTGTTATAATAAGGTTAGGTAAGTTTTCTAAGGTTCTTTTGGTACAAAATTACTAATTTTTACATTAACATAAATGAAAATATTTATCTTTAAACGTATAAGAGAAAATTTTAGAAAGGACTTAATTTTAAATGAGTTTCCAGCTAATTAACCAATTTTACCTATTCGGCACGACATATATATTATGCAGAAATCGCGAACAAGCGATATAATATGCAAAACAACCAGGGGGAGGAGTTAAATATCTCTAGACTTTTCTAATCAACATATCAGGAGGTTGCAGTGTTACAGTCTCCACAATAAGGGTACCCAAATATTGCACACGCGTCTTGTTCATCTGCATGTGGTGTCACCGTATGAAAGTATTAGCTGTATGCGCACTGCACCTTCACAGCTACAGCAAGATTGACAGCCATTTTCAGCGATCATTGTTCAGGTCAAGTACTAGTTCTATGTTGTGTACACTGCACCTTGGCAGCTACAAGACTGACGACCATTTTTGAGGTCATGTTAACAAGCTCCCCAGACTGCGGTGACAGATTTGAGATTATTTATAGCAAATCTCCCCGCCAACTGTCTGTTAAGCAGCTATAGGTCTTATCCCAGACCACGAGATATCTTAAAAGTCAATGTATTGAAGTCAATCTCTTCCCCTCTAAAAGGGTTTTACAGAGTTAGCTTAAGAGCTGTTACCTACTTAGCTCATTTGAAAGTCATTTTTATTATGAGACATACACATAGGGAATATGATGAAGTTGGAGCCATCTGTGGACCAGCGATTTCATTTAGTTAACTGACTTTATTTCATCGGTGTTATTATACTGTACGAACATGTTCCAGACTCGAGTCATCCTAAGAATAAATGATCTCAGACTATCTTGAGAACGGTACAGCCAGGGTGTAGCTGCTGTTGGCTACCCGTCTTGTTGTGTAGAAGCTCTCTTTTTCGCTGTCCACTAAGTTTGCCGATTCTCTCTCTCTCTCTCTCTCTCTCTCTCTCTCTCTCTCTCTCTCTCTCTCTCTCTCTCTCTCTCTCTCTCTCTCTCTCTCTCTCTCCTCTCTTTCTTTTATTGTTAACATATGCGGCAGGAAACTCAAACTTGGATGTTTTCTGCGAACATGTTGTGTTTGCTTATTCACATTCCTTGAAACACGCCTCGAATTTGTCTGTTACACGTTGTCACGTTGGAAGGTGGTTACATATTTTATGCAACATTGTGTTTGTATGTGGATGGTGGGGAAATGGGTGGGTAGGTTTTTGTGTGAATGGGGAAGACGTGTGAGTGTGTGTGACGTGTTTATTCACCGAGTTCTACTACTGACAGAGTTGTGTTGGCAGAAATTGAAATTCTTCTCCTGGCTCCTAGGATGCTTTGATGAGCATTAGTGATTTCTGATGATTAAGACACATGAGCAACAGTTGGGTATCTTTATTGGTGAAGCGTTTCACCTACACAGTAGACCTGCTGTGTAGGCGAAATGTTTCATTTTCTGTCTTAATCATCAACTTGTCGGTATTTTATACCATTATCAACATTACTAATTTCCGGCCCAAGAGGCCAGCAGTGATGGGTTTTTCAACTAGTTTCTAAAAATATACTTCCTGGCATTCCTATGATCTATGACTACAGCTTCTGATTGTGTACTCTTGACCCAGTGTGTGAAGGGACACGGAAGAGGTAGTGTGTACTCACTGATCGCTACTAGGTCCTCTCTCTCTCTCTCTCTCTCTCTCTCTCTCTCTCTCTCTCTCTCTCTCTCTCTCTCTCTCTCTCTCTCTCTCTCTCTCTCTCTCTCTCTCTCTCTCTCTCTCTCTCTCTGCGCCTTCAGAGCTTTGTCATACCTCGTTTTAAAGCTATGTATGGTTCCTGCCTCCACTACATCACTTGTTAGGCTATTGCGCTTCCTGACGACTCTGTGACTGAAGAAATACTTCCTAGCATCCCTATGACTCGTCTGAGTCTTCAGCTTCCAATTGTGACCCCTTGTTTCTGTGTCCCCTCTCTGGAACAACCTGTCTCTGTCTACCTTATCTATTCCACGCAGTATTTTGTATGTCGTTATCATGTCTCCCGTGACCCGCCTGTTCTCCAATGTCGTCAGTCCGATTTCCCTCAACCTTTCTTCGTAGGACATACCCCTGAGCTCCGGAACTAGCCTTGTTGCAAACCTTTGCACTTTCTCTAATTTCTTGACGTGTTTGCCCAGGTGTGGGTTCCAAACTGGAGCTGCATACCCCAGTATGGGCCTGATATACACATTGTACAGTGTCTTGAACGATTCCTTACTAAGGTATCGGAACGCTATTCTCAGGTTTGCCAGGCGCCCGTATGCTGCAGCAGTTATCTGGTTGATGTGTGCCTCCGGAGACATGCTCGGTGTTATAATCACCCCAAGATCTTTCTCCTTGAGCGAGGTTTGCAGTCCTTGGCCACCTACCTGGAGGTTACCTGGAGGTTATTCCGGGGATCAACGCCCCCGCGGCCCGGTCCATGACCAGGCCTCCCGATGGATCAGGGCCTGATCAACTAGGCTGTTACTGCTGGCTGCACGCAGTCCAACGTACGAGCCACAGCCCGGCTGATCCGGCACTGACTTTAGGTATCTGTCCAGCTCTCTCTTGAAGGCAGCCAGGGGCTTATTGGCAATTCCCCTAATGCTTGATGGGAGGCTGTTGAACAGTTTTGGGCCCCGGACACTTATGGTGTTTTCCCTTAGTGTACCAATGGCGCCCCTACTTTTTATTGGGGGCATTTTGCATCGCATGCCCAGTCTTTTACTTTCGTAGGGAGTGATTTCTGTGTGCAGATTTGGGACCATTCCTTCCAAGATTTTCCAAGTGTAGTTTATGATATATCTCTCCCTCCTGCGTTCCAACGAGTACAAGTCAAGTGCTTCCAAGCGTTTCCCAGTAGTTAAGGTGCTTGACAGAACTTACACGTGCAGTAAAGGATCTCTGTACACTCTCTAGATCTGCGATTTCACCTGCTTTGATTGGAGATGTTAATGTACAGCAGTATTCCAGCCTAGAGAGAACAAGTGATTTGAAAAGGATCATCATGGGCTTGGCATCTCTCGTTTTGAAAGTTCTCATTATCCATCCTATCATTTTCTTTGCACGTGCGATCGTGGCACTGTTGTGATCCTTGAAAGTGAGATCCTCACACATTACTACTCCCAGGTCTCTTACATTATTTTTCCACTCTATTGTATGGCCAGAGTCTGTAGTATTCTCTGTTCTAGTTGTTATCTCCTCCAGCTCTCCATAACGGAGTAGTTGGAATTTGTCCTCATTGAACATCATATTGTTTACCGTTGCCCACTGGAAGACTTTGTTTATATCTTCTTGGAGGTTAACCGCGTCCTCAGCAGATGACAGCCTCATGCAGATCCTAGTATCATCCGCAAAAGATGATACGGTGCTGTGGTGTATATCTCTGTCTATGTCTGATATGAGGATAAGGAATAAGATGGGGGCGAGTACTGTGCCTTGTGGAACAGAGCTCTTCACTATGGCAGCCTCGATTTAACTCTGTTGACCACTACTCTTTGTGTTCGATTTGTTAGGAAGTTGAAGATCCATCTCCCCACTTTCCCAGTTATTCCTTTAGCACGTATTTTATGGGCTATTACGCCATGATCGCATTTGTCAAATGCTTTTGCAAAGTCTGTGTATATTACATCTGCATTCTGATTTTCTTCCAGTGCATCCAAGGCCATGTCATAGTGATCCAGTAGATGTGAGAGGCAGGAGCGACCTGCCCTGAACCCATGTTGCCCTGGATTGTGCAGATTTTGGGAATCCAGGTGATTTGCAATCCTGCTTCTTAGCACTCTTTCAAAGATTTTTATGATGTGGGACGTCAGAGCTATTGGTCTA